TATGCTTGCCAGGAATTTTGCTGTGGGCCTAGAAATAACATGAGAGCTGCTTGAAGATGCACCAGCAAAGCTTTATTAATCACTGCCAAGAACTGCCTCCCTTGGTCCACAGCAGCGTCCTGAAAAAAGCCCCGTGTTCAATGTTGGAAAAAAGTACCCCTGAAACCTGGTGCTGTCTGGGCAGCCCGTGACAGAGAGGGCATGGACCTCTCAGTCCCTTGCCAGGGGCTGTGCCAGTGCTGGTGGCACCTGCCTGTCACCAGGGAGCAGTGCAGTGCAGTCACTGTCAGGGTTCAAACCAGTGTAGTTAATGTCTGGGTCTGTATGGGAGGAAATAAATCCAAGGGAAAGCTGTGGGGAAAGGGGGAGGGTGAGAATGAAATACCACATCCAGGCAATGGGGAGGTGACTGTTTTCCAGAGGCTCTGTGGTGCTTTTTGCAGCTCGGGCAGAAGCTGTGGTAGGAGTGACAGTGAGTCTCTGACATCTGAGCAGTTTGCAGGGCTCTGTCTCAGATCTTTGCTGTCATAAATGTTGTAGCCCAGTATATTTTTTGCCCAACAGACTCTGACAGGATCTGTGCCACTGCTGTGGTTCTTGCATTGACACCAGGGATGGTTTATTCCTTCTTTGAGCTGAAAGTGCTGACAGCAGCAGACAGGGTTTCTCAGCCCTTGGTACCCCCAGACTCCCAGAGCACAAACACTTCACTGCTACAGACACCAGGCTGGGAAAAAGCCTGTGATAACCAAGCCTCTCTTTGATATGTTGGAGAGAAGTGATTTAAAGAAAGCTATTGTGTTTTTAAAGGTTTATTGCTGACTTCATTTCTGAAATTTCTCTGTGGACCATGTAGACATCAACTGTAATTCTTGGAGTTGTTTCTTTTAGAAATCAGTTCCTGCTGTAAGGATGGGATTTCACTAATTAAGGACATGTCTTGTGATATTGATGTGTACAAAAATCTTGCCTGCACTTGGTCTCTCTCTTGAAAGCATGCAAATTAAATGCCTTTTCACTCTAAGAATTGGAAGAACTCTTTTAAGAATCAAATACACCCAGGAAAAGGCTGTACATGGATATTGATTAATTTTATGATGTCTGCTGCAAACTGCACTGAATCCAGCCCTGGAACTGGATGAGTCCTAATGCTGGAAGCAGTGGGAGAGCATCCATTTAAGGTGCACAGGACAGGCTGGGAATGCTGATGGGAGTGGGTGATGTACACAGGGATCCTATCCCAGTGGGAGAGGTTACGGTACATAGCAGTGAAAAGGAGTGGGAGCAGGAATACTTTTACATCCCAGCCACCTACTGACACCTCGAGTGACCATGACCCAATGTTGACTAACAAGCTCCACTTCACCACAATAAGAACAGACACACAAAGTAGTTGTCAGAGTCACTGTTAACATCCCAGCTTGCTGGAGGAGAGCTGTCACACCCTCACTGTTGATTTGTGTACACATTTGTTTGTGCAATAACTTACTTAAAACTTAAGACTTTCATTTCCATATAAACATTTTCTCCCTGGTTGTTTTTCGCAATATAAATATTATGGAAAGGGTTTAAAAAAAATCGAGACAATGAAGATTAGGTGGTCTTAATGTGGCAAAAGAAGGGAAACGCGTAAGTGAAGTCAGGTAGATTTCCTTTTGCATATATCCATATCAGAAAAGAGATCCCCCCTATTCCAGGTGTAAATAGAGCTGGAGGAAGGGAATGTGTGAAGTGTAACTAAGTGGGAAAGGAAGGCTGCAGTGCAGGAAAACCCCTTGGTAGAGGAGGGAACATGGAGAGCCTGGTGCTTTGACTGTATGTTATGGAGGCAGGGCCAAGAACTCTGCACTGCCAGGGGATTCTCTATGATATTGAGATCTCTTTACCAGGAGCAGTATTGGAGAAGGAATATGAAGCTGCAGGTAATGTTACCATTAATATATGAAAGCTTTTATCCAGTAGCCTCTCTGTAGAGCATGCCCTCACTCTGTAGTCACTTTAAACTCTGAAATCCAGTTGTGTCTTAAATTCTAGTGACCCCTAGCTGAGGAGTCCTAGTGCTTCACATCCTGCAGCCAGGAATAACCATTCTTCAGCGTGTTCTCTGAACAGAGCTCAGATCCTACAGGAATCTTGCTGGGATTGGTGTATTTAAAAATTCTCTTCTAATGCAGGCTTGGGATACTGTGGTTTGCATAACGAAAAGGATGCCCAAACTGTTTTCATGAGCAGCTACCCCACAGAACATATCAGAGTGGGTGCAGGTGCCATCATCTGTGCTGCACCAAGGGCCAGGGTGTCTGTAAATGGGATAAGGCACTAGGAACAGATTTGCCCATCCAGAAAAACCTTGCTCCCTGCTCATGGGAGGGACAGCACAGAGCCTGTGCTGCTGGAGGGGAGCCCTGGGTAGTCCGCGCCTTTGGACAGGATGGAGTGAGTTTTAACCTCAGTTAAATATGTATATCATATTTATATGTGCTTTGGGATGGGCAGCCACCTGCAAAGCTACAAGATCCTTCTAATTCAGTAGGAGCTGTGGGCAGTGTGTGAAGGTGAGTCCACTTTAACCACAGGATATACAAGCAATAGGTGTTGAAATCTGACACATTGCAGATATACCTAATGTTAAAGTTAACCAGAGGGTTACAGCTGAGTTATGGCTGTTCAGTATAATTTCGCTTTTTTTAAGCCCTAAGGTTCCAGGAAATACATAGCCTAGCAAAACATCTCTATTTTTGTGAGCCATTGATAAAAATTAGTTTGGCACTTGAAACAAAAATATAGTTGGCTGAATAGTTAAAATTGTAAAAGAGAATAAAACATTATTTTTAATTATTTTTTAATTCCGTGGCAGCCTCTTGGGGCTTTGCCCTCTCTGACTTTTGCAGACCCCGGGGGTTTGCCCGGTGCTCCTGGGCTGGGGGCCGGGACAGTTCCTGTGCTGGCGGACGACGCAGGTTGGTGACAGGAGCCTCTCAGAAGAGAGGGATCAGCCGTGCCTCCTCTCCGTTAGAAGGCACCAGAGATCCACCGTGGCTCTCCCATTTCTCCAGCCGGGAAAGCTGGGGGTGGCTGTTGCGCATGACGAGTGCCTTGCAGAGCCCACTTCACTTCCCCGAAATTCTTTTTTCTAGTCCCACTGAAAAAAATTCCCCTACTTGAGACTTCCCTCTGCTCGAGAGCCTCCTTTTTCTGAGCTGACACAGTAGGAAAGCTCCATTCTTAAGAAAACTGAGAGAAATGTTTACTGGTTTTTTTTTTTCTTAGTGTGCTCTCTGTTTACTGCAGACCAAAGCCCCAGCTGCAGGACATGAGCTTCTCTGTTTCCCATGGAAAATTATCCCTCACCAGCTCTCGACACACTGAGCAGAGCAGTGTTTTCCCATTGCCCAGTGGGGCTGGACCAGGTGCCTCTGCAGTCCAGGGGCAGAGCTGGCTGTTCTGCAGGAGCTGTTGCAGAAGAGCTGCCTCCTGTCCTCTCATTTGCTGCTTCTTTGTCCTACTCAGTAATTAGGCTTTAATATTTCATTTCTGCCAACATACAGAGATCCTGAAACTCTCCAGATGACCCACTCTGCAGACAACAACTCTGGACTAATACTTTTGTAACATTTCTGCTTCTTATTCCACTAATTCTCCTGGATTATAGCTTTTGTTGGAAATAAAATTGGAAGAATAATGTTTAGAAAAAAATTCTAATGACTTACGGTAAAAAATTTCAAATTTCATTTAAACCACTACTGTGAAAGATCAAATAGAAAGGATCCTCAGTCCAGCAAATTTTAGTCCATTTAGGAAAAGCTGCTTTGGGCATGCAGAAGACCACAGGTGGATCCTCTGAAAGGCAAGGAAGGGAATCTTGGGCCTCCCATGGTGCTGGAACTGTAGATAAATCACTAACCATTCCCTGCAGCATGAATCTGTTATCCTATCCAACACAGATGGGTAAACCATTTTGTTACTTGATTTCTGTGTGGTAACTGCTGGATCCCCATCCTTGCTGTAGGGCTGTGCAGGTCGTCTCCCTGGACAGGAGCTGGGGTCCCAACACACCTGCCCCCAGAGCCCTGGTACGTGTCCTCCCCTCGGGACTGGGTGCTGAGGATGGGTGTCCCCTGGCCCAGCTCTGCAGGAATCCAACCTCTTTCTCCCTCTGCAGTCCATGGGTTTATTTTTCAGATAATATGATTTGGTTTAGATAGTTTTAGGGGAGTCCAAGCCATGTTTCAGCTCGTTGGTTCTTCTCTAAGTAATACAAGAGTATGGCTAAAGCTGGATAATTGCTCTGACTTCTGTCTGCTCTGGGACAAGGACTGCTCTCCCTTGAAGCCCCGGGAGTCTGAGCCTGCTCCTGGCACTCAGGAACGAGAGAAGAGAAGCTGATGTTGGAATGGTATGGACAATAGGGCGGGAAATGTGGTGCGTCTCTTCTTATGCGACCCTTTCATTGGGAACGCGGCCGGGCAGGGGAGGTGCCGTGAGCCCGGGACTCAGCCTTACAAAATCAGAGTGACCGGGGCAGGGCTCGAATGGGACCCTACTCTGCTCCAGGGTGTGAGCTGTCCCCCAAGGCGGGTGTGTGGGTGTGTGTACGGGGGGCAGAGCCTGGCCCTCCCCTTGCCAAAAGCGATAAAAGTCACGGCACGAGGCTCGAGGAGGAGAGGGGATAACCCACGAGCGAGGGCGGCAGGATGGTTCTGGCGGTGGGGTAATCGGGGGGACCGTCCTTGTCCGCCGCAGGGCGGGGACGGGGACAGGTCCTGGCGGCGCGGCGGCCCCGCGGGGGTGGTGGCGTGTCCGTGGCGCGGCCCCGCGTGTCCCGCCCGCGCTGCCGCAGCTCCTCCCGCCGCCGAACGGGGTCCGGCCGGGACCCCGCGGGCGGGCGGGCGGGCGGCGGGGCTGCTCCTCTTCCCCGGCTGCTCCGCTCCTCCGCTCCCGGCTCCACCGCTCGGGGCTCCTCCGCTCCCGGCTCCTCTCCTCCCGCCCGCCGGTGCCGCCCGGGCCGGCGGCTGCTCGGTCCCGCCGCGGACCCCGCGCTCCGCTCTCCCCAGGTAGGCGCCTCCCCGGCTGCGCTCTCCGGACCGGGGCTCTGATCCGCTGCCCCACCGGCGGGGCTGGGCAGTGGGGGCGATCGCTCGCTGCTGGCGGCGGCTCGGGACGTGCGGTGCTCGCCGGCGGCAGCTCCGCCGCTGCCCGCGGCGTGTTACGGGCCGGGAGTCGCGCTGCCAGGAGCCGGGCTGCGGCGAGGAGAACCGCAGACGACAGCCATGGCACTGATGGTGACATTTATGGCACTGACAGTGACACCCATGGCACCTGCTCTCGTCCTTCCCGAGCGCAGTTGGGGCCGCGGGGGAGTTCAGAGTCATTGGTTGCCCTGGGACCGCAGCGCAGGGTGATGTCCCTCCTGCCTCTGTCACCGTTCAGTCCCAGCCGCTCGGCAGAGCCGCAGCTTCCCCCCGAGCGGTGCTGGGGCAGCGCAGTGGGGGTGAGAGAAATTGTCTGTGAACCCTCGGAGATCGCGGTCCTCTTCCAGGGGCTCAGCAGTCCCCACCAGGGGGGATGCGGCTGCCGCTCGTCCTCCGGGTGCGCGTCCAGCCCTTCCCTCAGTCCCGCTGCGCTCCCTTCCCCTCAGAGCACACCCTGCTCGCGGTGCGAGTGCAAACCGCGCAGGTGGCTGCGTTCCTCTGCTTTGCTTTGGGTTTGCTTTCATCTCCGGGGCTGGGAGCCGGGATCACCCGGCTGCCTTCACGCCTGTAAAATGCCCGCTGACGAGACCCCGGGAACAACGAGGGGCCGACTCGAGCATGATGTTAGAATGGAAGGGTTAGTACTCTTGGCCCAAGGAAAAGTAATTATTTTAATAATTTTGTGACTTTGCAACGTGAAGGAGTAAAGGATGTATCATTACCGTACCCCGGGTACACTTTGTAAAGATGCAAATGATTGTAATTAGTACTCAGATTAGCTTAACTTCAAGGAATACCTGCACTCCCTCCTCGGAGCTTGTATGTACTGATGTATTTTCAAAAATAAATTCAGCTCCAGACTGGTGTACAAGGGAGTTTCCTTGAGCATTTGAGCTCGGCTGACATCAGTCAGATCACCAGGGTGTAGAAGCAGTGGCATGGGAACCTGATTTATGGCAGTTGCATCCGAAGGTCTGTTTTTCCTCTGAAGAGTAAGTTTTGGGGCTTGAAAATAGGTGCTGGTGTGGCTTCGTTTGAAACTGAAGGTTCAGTCTGTTCCTTTCAGAGGCACTGATAGGGATCGTAAACGTTTGCTGCTTCAATTGTTTTATTGTTGGATCTCGTTTCAGTTCTGAGATGGGAAATCAAGATTTTATTTTCCTTAGCGTGAGAGAAGGAACTCGGTGTGCTGGTGTGGGAACCCACAGCAACCCATGGCAGCCCCAGTTCCCTGTAATTCTCTTTTCTCTGACATATATTTTATGATTCCTCCCTTTTCTGGTTGAATAACGTGATTTCATTACTTCAAAATAAAAAAGTGGAGCTACTTAGTAGGTGTTTTCAGAGTGTAGATCTGAGAAAATATTCAATGAACAAGCAGATGCCCTGGAGAATGCTCCGGGTTGGACACAGTCCAGATCCTGATGCACTGTTACTCCCTCATTTTATTCTTTTAGGGCTTTGTACTTCCAAGAAGAAATAAACTTGTATGTCAAAGGGATGTTAGTATCAAACCCAAGCAAATAAAGGTGCTTTGCGTGTAAATGCTTCAGATGTAAAGTGGCTGCTGTACCCTATGGAGAGCATTCAGACTCTCTCAACTGTCACTGAACTCTACAGAGTGCTACACTCCAGTGTTCCCATACGTGTCAGGGGAGACTGGAAACTGAAGCCTGTGCTGTCTGCTAATGACAGCTGTTCCTTTGCAATGGGAGAGGAAAGTCAGCCACTGCAGCCAGCACCAAGCCAGAAATCAGGTTTGCTCTTTTGTTCATAGTTCATATTTGAAAAAAAATTTTGAAGAACTTGTGTGATAACTGCACCTTGATTTTACATCGAATCTTTTCAATAAAAAAGCCCAGAATGGTATGATTTTGTCCCAAATGAAAGACTTGTGTAACAGCTTAAATCAAAAAGTTGACATTTTGAATTTCTTCTTCTTTAGCTTTTACCCTTTCACATGACCTCAGCAGTGAAAAGTGCTTTTTGATTTTGTCTAGCCAAGTCACTATGTCCATTTATTTTGGATATTGCCCTCACTACAATTAGTCATCACTGAAGCTACAAAATATGTGTTGGATAATATAGCAAACACGAGACAGATCCTTGGATCTTCGGGTCTGCTGATCTGTTTCTACCCTTCCCGTAGCGGGCTGCAGTCCTGGTCTGGGTTACAAGGTTACGGTGTTACTGGTTTCCCTAATAAACTCCACTGTAATGTGCTTTTCCCCTGACACTCAGTGTTTCCCTCAGAGCAGTGAACCTCCAGCGAGAATTTTGCAAGCTCTAAACGCTTCTTCATCCTGAATGATGGTGAATTTTTGCCTCCTGCCCTCTCCAGGATGCACCAGGACATCACCGAGTTCTGCTGGGATTGACCCGCAGTAGCACCATCCCAGGGCTGAGTGGAACCAGAGGAGTGGGGAGCACTGAGCCTGGGCTGAGCACACCATGGGGGCAAACACCTCCAGCAAGTCACCACCCTTCAGTGGGAACGAGGATGGTAAGAGCTTTTCCTGTTTGTTCTCTAGGACTGCAGAGTCCTCAGTGCAGACTGTGACTGTGAGGGTTGTGGGCAGTGCCCATCCTGGGGCTGCAAAATGCCCGGGAGCTCTGGGTCAGCAGGGGTGTGTGGAGGTCAGCAGCAGCAGTGTGCTCATAGTCCCTGCAGAGCTGTAATCTGTTTTTTGGGGTCCTTTTGCCTCCCCTCGCAGCAGCTGGCTCTGGGAGCAGGACTGTCAGCAGACCTTTGGTGTTGAGGTGTCCCTGGCACACAAAGGCAGGGACAAAACACTGCTGCTCTGGAGGCTGGGGAGGTTTGTTCTGGAGGTCCCAGCATGTGGAGGACCGGTAGGAAATGTGGTGGGAAGGTGGCTCGAGCAATGAGTGTTCCCATGGGTGTTCCTGGTAGCTGCCCATCCAGGCAGTGCTCCCCTCAGGCACGGGGAGGCCAAGCCTGCAGGCTGGGTCAGCTGGAAAAGGAGGGTTGGAAAAGTACTGCTTGGAGCAGTATTGAAGGCCAGGGTCCCTGTGCTGCCAAGATTACAGAGACAGTCATTAAAAGATTGCTCCATAAATATATTTGCTGTTGCATGAGTCAGCTTGCTGACTGCCATATGGGCTTTTACCTGGGTACAACAACAAAATGCATCTGTAGATAAATACAAATACATATAATTAAAAGTAAAATATATGAGGACCTGGATACCCCATCAACTCTTGTCCAATGTGCCCTACAGTGCCACTACAGGTCTGTAGCTGTTTGGCTAAACCAGCTGTGCTTTCCAATCTATTAATGTAACTTCTTGCAAGTTTTCTTTGTTTTTCATATTTTTTCCCAGTTGCTGTAGTGCAAAAGAAATCCATGCTGCAAGGTTTTCCTGGAGATTTTATTCCTGGTGCATCTCAATGCTCAGTTTTGGCATCTCTAATGAACAACCAGTTGTGCTTGCTCAGGATGATGAGCACTTCTGTTCCTGACCACCTTCCCCGGGGTGATGTGCCCTGGCTGTGGGATTTTCCCTGAGGTGGCTGGTCTCTGCTGGGTGTCTCTCTGGGTTTGACGTGATTCCTGCAGCACTAGCTCCTGCAACAGAAACACAGCAATGCCAGGAAAGGCCCCATCCTGACCTTTTTGGGTGGTTCAGTGTCAATCTGTTGGGCTTCAGTGGGCTCAGGGCCACCTGTCCACACTGATGCAGCATCCAGACCAGTGCAGTTCTGCTTCCATGGCCCTACCCAAATTTAAAAAGTGGTGGCACATTTTTTCTCTAATTTGTTGTGGTTTATTATACTGGGGGGAGAGAAATCAGGCTGAAATGGAGATGTCCTCTATGGAATTTTCCATTATCTTGCAGATCAGTGACCACAGGCTATATCACCTTAGATGTCACAATCTTGTCCTTACTCTAATTTCAGCTTAAACTGTAGTTAAGTAAGAGCTGCTGGGTACAGCAGGAAGCAGCAGAGTGTTCCATGGCATGGGCAGGTCCCTCCCCCAGCCTGTGGGCAGTGGGGACCACTCCCACCTCTGTGGCTGTGCCACAGGGAGACTTTTCCTTTGGGACCTGTGAGGGTGGGTGGAACAGCACAAGTGGTATGGGTGCTCCAGTGCCAATCCTAATGACTCTTGCATATTTTCCCAAATTGCTGTTGCTATAATTTCACTCTTTTCTATGGCACCATGATTTTTATTTGAACTTTTTGAAGGGCTTCGTTTGCCTTCAGCTGAAGCAGGGTGACAGTATTACTTTTCTCTCAGCATTTCCTCTGATAATTGTGGATAATAAGCAAGTGAGCTGAAAAGAAAATGTAATAACCAGACAGAAGGTTCAGGGCTACAAAGTGATCTGACTTCTAGCATAGTCAGGATTAGACCATGTGAAAAGCCAGATTTTTTTTGTGCTGTTCCTGTGCTGAAGGGTGTGGGAAGAGTCCAAAGTGGTGGCATCCTGGTGGTCTCCCCACCAAATTTGGTGGAAAATAAAGTAGAAATAGATAGTAGGTGAGGACAGTGGTGGGTCAGAAGGACACACATCATTCCATGCCCTCTCCAGCCCACCAGCAGCTGCTCTGTGTTTAAATCACCCTTGGACTGAACAGAGCATCAACATCATCCTCTGCCTGGGTCTGCACCACGTCCCACTCTCCAGTACAGAGGGACTGACATGATCATTGAGTGGCAGTACTTGTTTTCCTGAGACAGAGCAGAGGAGGAGAGAGGGAGTGAGAGACTATAATGAAAATGGGGGAAATTACAGTGAGAAAAGGAAGGGGAATTTTAACAGACCATGTGATGCTGTGCTTGCTGTGCTGGGGTGGGCAACAGGGATGGGGAGACCTGAGCTCCTGAAGCACTGATTTTGCTTGGCAGATGAGCCTGGGGACTTTGGCAGGGTTGACTGGTCTTTGTTAAGGATGTTTTTTGTGGCTGGTTGGGATCTGTACTTTTTAATTTAAATATTGTTCCTTGAACCTCAGTTTAGAAATATGATCCCTGCTTACAAAATAGTGTTTCATGATTATACCTCAGTTACTTCTTTATGGCAATTGTGTTATCTTTCTTTGCATCTCCTAAACACTGTTTGTCTGAGTTGGCAGAGCACATGAGTTTTTTCTCTGAAGGGCAAAAGCTTTGTCTTTTTCTTTGTTTTAGATGCCATCAGGTAGGGAAATGTGGCTTGTCAATTCTGTGGGTGTGATTCAGAATGAACAGCATGCGTTTGGTTCCTGACTTGAACACCACAAACTTCAGTGCTCTTCAGGAGTGAGACTCCAGAATTGACTCCCTGTGAAAGCTGAGGATGGTAGGAAGGCTAAATCAGAGAAAGGTTAAAATGTGCCTGTACCTAGTTTGAGAGTCTTAAATGAAGTATGAAACTTAGCTCAGTTTCATAGGCCTATGTTTAAAATGTTAATGAAAACATCAATATTAAAGAACAAGGAGGCAGAGGGTGTGAACATGTTCATGAAAGCATTCCTGTAAAGGACAATAGAGATACAGGGGGTGGACATGCAAAAACTGGCTGCTGGTCTAACTCCTCTAGATTTGCAGCCGTTCCAGATGTTAATGCCCAGCTGTTAATGCCATGGTCTGCCCTGCTCTGCAGAACCCCCTGTGGGGTCCCAGTGATGAGAACCAGAGATCCCCCTCTCCCCACAGCTGAGGCTGTGTCACGGCACAGGGCTACTGCAGCTGACCTCTCTCTGCAGCAGGCACCCCTCTCATCTTCCCCTGCAGGTGATAAGCATCTTCACCCTTTTTGTTCTGCAGGTACCCTTCTCTCTGATGGTCTCACTGGCAAACAGATCCAGTTAAACTCAGTCATCATCAGCTTGTATTTACTCTGATATTTGCAGCTGTTCTGGGTTTGAGAAAGGGCATCTGTGCCTAAAAGCTCGTGTTCCTTCCAAGTGCTGTAGCTGGTCACCCTAAACTTTGCTTTGGTTAGACTGTACCATCCTACCTGAAAAGGTAATGGCAATGTTTTCCTAAGGTATAAGGGTTTCATGGACTAAGCTTTGCGTTTGTTCTCAGCAGGAGCAAGATGAGGCTGATATCTCTAACAGGCAGGGCAGGAGGACAGTGAGAACATTGGCTTGGGGGTTCTCTGCCTGATCTGCCATTGACAGAGGCTGACCCAGGGAACTGCCTTTGCAGCTGAGCTGGAGTGAAAAAAATCCCTGTTAAATGCTGAGTTTAAATAACACCCAAATCTCCAAAAGAAACAGAGTGTTGCTGGGGTATCCCTCATTTTCCTCAGCTCATATGGAGGAAAAGTAGAAATAATGTGATATCATCAAGTGTTTGCTCAGCCATTTAATACTAAAATGTTTCCTCTTTCTTGCAGTTACCTTCGACCATTTTGAGATTTTGCGAGCTATTGGGAAGGGCAGCTTTGGAAAAGTGAGTGTTTTGGGACCTAATCACTGTGTGGACAACTGGAGGTGTAACTGGGTGGAAGTGGGTGAACTGGAGGCTTGCATGACAGCACAGAACCAAAGCTCTACATCGTCAGTGAGCCTTGACCTGAGCTTCAACTCCTGGTAATCAGGAAGGATTCAGAGCTCGATTCCTCATCCATTCTGTAGCCACAAATTATATTACAGGAGATTAAAATGAGAAATTGATCAATCAAATGAACGGAATTTCATTACATTTCCGAATTAGCATTTCCTAAGATTTCCCAGCAAATCAACACTGAACATCATGATGCATATTTAATAAAGATCTACAATCAATATGAAAGCCTGGCAGGTTTTTTAATATGTTAAATATTTCTCTGTGAGACATGGTGTTTGTTATTAAGCATCAAGTTTTGGTCATGCATTTTATTTTTATGCTGTTGTGGAATTTGCCACTTGTATGGGCTGACAGAAGGTCGTTTGCCTCTTCACATAAAGGCACCCTGATGCCAGAAGTGGGATGTGCCTTGGGTGCAGAGGGCAACAAAAAGCTCAGATGAAGAGACAAAGAGATTTATCTGGAGCCAAAAAAAAAAAGTTTGACTGAAACCTGCAAATTTATCCCAACCTCATAAACTGTTGTGTAAAGAAATCCGAGCCACCAGCCTGTTTCATTGTGCACTCTCACAGGCTTGGAGGCTTGCCTTGAAGTGATGTTTCTTTCTAGATTTGGGGACGTATAAGAAAAGTTACAATTCAAAGAAAGCCCAGGATTCACTGTGAGCTGAGTGACACTTCTCAGGAAGGCGAGGATCAGGTGCTGCTCCCAGTGACTGAACTGTAGTTCTGTGGTGGAGGGGGCTCTCCCCAGCAGTAACTAGTTGTGGGAGGGATGGACATGACCATGATTAGCGAGTGATATTGAATGAAATGTTGACTTCTGTGCCATTCCCTATCTCCCATCTTGTGGTGATAAATTCAGTCTGCTCACCTTCCCCACAAAATTTCTCTTCAGGTGAAAACTAGGCAAGAAATTCCTGGGCAAGGTCCAGTGCTGCAGCATCAGTGCACGGAGTTGTGCCTTGGCACTGTGAGCTCTGCCAAAGCCACTGGAGAACACTTGTGTCAATGGGTTTTACCAGCCCAAATTAGCTGACAAATCATCTCTGATTCATCCCCTGATTTGGTCTCCTAGGTCTGCGTGGTGCAAAAGACTGACACTAAGAAGATGTACGCCATGAAATACATGAACAAACAGAAGTGTGTGGAGCGTAATGAAGTCAGAAATGTTTTCAAGGAGCTGCAGATTATGCAGGGCCTGGAACACCCCTTCTTGGTTAATTTATGGTAAGAGGTGGTTGCTTGGCTCACTGGTCCAGTCAGCACAGTCAGTTACAGACACCTTTGAGACCCCCCTAGTCTGCTGCAAGCCTGTCCTGTGAGCAGCTGGTGTGTTCTGCTCACCAGGGCTCTTGTTTCAGGGGAATCCTGTTTAATGAAACAAACATTTATCTATCTCCCTTGTTCCCCCAGACAGCACAAGAAATTTTATCCATGTGTCCCCTTGCAGTGCCCCCCGGGGCAGGTATTGCCCATCACCATAACCCACCTGTATTTAATGCTGCTCTTTGCAGCAACAGCAGCTCCCAGCAGTGGCACAGGATCGATGGCCAAGCAGGGCTCTTTGCAGGGTGTCCCTTGGCACTGTGTTCTTCTTAATTTTATTAGGACACCAGTAACATTCCAAGTGATGTGAGCTCATATACCATGTGATAAAGTGGCTGATATCCTGTAGGTATAGGAGTCCTTTGGGGTGGTAGGTAATTACATTTATGGGAAATTGGATTTAATTTTAGAATAAGGTAGAACTTATCGATACTAAACACAATAAATGAGGCTAAAACACATTGAAGATCACAAATCTTTGAATTACTGTTCGTTTTTGAAATCCCTTGTAACCTGAGTGCCATTTGGTGAACCCTTGGGATTTTGCTGCAGCTACCATTCAGTGTTGTTTTGAGTGGGGTATGAGTGGGAAAGGTGCAGCCACACCTCCCAGGTCACATCTCCATACTTTGCTTTCCTGCTTGAACAGACAGTTCCGGGCAAAGCTCACTCATCAGCTGAGAACTGACCTGTGTGTGCATATGTACAGACCTGTAGGGAGCAAACCATGCAAGTGTCCCTGTTCTTACCATGCCTTCCCTGGCCTCAGAATGCCTTTACCATTCCTGTGGCTTTCCTGCACTCCAAGTGACACACAGACTATTAGCTTTGAGTGGCCTGTGGTGTGGTTTGTGGTGCTGTTCATCCCATCAAGCAGTCAGTGTGTTGGTAAGGAAAAATCCATGAGGAAAGGGCTCATAGCTGGTAGTCTGCCCCTCTCAGAGGGACACTGGGTAAACACTCCATCAGATAAGGTCACTTACAGAGGACTGGCAGAGAGCAGCTGCACCCCTGTTGTGCTGAGCACGTGGGTTCATGGACAGGCTGCTACTGGGAGAGCTGGCACCCAACAGCGAGACCTGAGGGTCTGGGCAGGGCTGTGCTGGGCCAGGGCTCCTCCGTGTTGCTCCTGTGATCACTTCCCACACATACTCAGAGAAGGCAGAACATCCATCTGGAGTTGTTCAAACAGTCTGCTCTGACTCTGTTATGGATCTGAGGCTAAATTATTGTCATCACAAGTGTGACCATAGGATTTTAGTCACAGGGGGAAACAGAGCATGGGAAGGTCATGAAATTATTGTTTCTCAACTGAAGAAGTTCCAAGAAATGATGAGTATTCCCAGAGGTACCACATGTCACTTTATGACTGTTGTTTTTCAGTGCTGCCATCCCCGAACCATGTGTGTGCTCTTTCAGGTACTCGTTCCAGGATGAAGAGGATATGTTCATGGTTGTTGATCTGCTGCTTGGAGGGGACCTGCGTTACCACCTCCAACAGAACGTGCGGTTCCAAGAGGGCACAGTGAAACTCTTCATCTGTGAGCTGGTGCTGGCCCTCGACTACCTGCAGAGCAGGCACATCATCCACAGGTCAGCTGGGACCTCGGGAGGGCTGATGGCCACAGGCTGTACTGGGGAAAGGCTTGTTCCTCTTTGATGTGAAATGACAAATAGAAGCTTAAATACTAAACAAAATATTCTCCCACGTACCTTTGCTTTCATGTGAAGCACAAGGCTTCCCCAAGAAAAGCATTTCATATAAAGCAGAGAGCATCTGATTTCTCCCTCTGGGGTAGCTGTGAAATAGCATATTCTGCTGATCCTGCAAAAAGCTGTCTCTAATAGGTTTAATTAGCTGTAGCTCATTAATATTTGCGTGGTCCAGGGAGGGTAGGTGTCAGCACTCACAACTCCCCTGTGTTCACACTTGGAGGTGTCTCCCTTTGTCTCCCTCTCTGTACCACACCAAAATATGAGGAATGGGCCCAAACACAGCTTTTTTTCTGTGTGAGGTAAATCCCTTTCTAGGATTTGGCTATCAAGATTTCTCACGGACAGTGTAAAAATGTGTGTGAGCTTTTGCCACACCTTTGAAGACCTGCAGAGAAGCAGAGGAGGAAAAGCTTTCCCCTGGCTGGGAAGCAGGGTTTGGCTGTGGACTGATGGACATGCAGCTCTCTCCTGCTGGTGTCATGGGCAGCACAACCCTGGGCACCCAAGGGTTTACCAAGTAGCTGCTGTCAGGGAGGATGAGCAGGGAGGGACTATGAGGGTCGATAAAGGCAAGAAGAAAGTCACCTCATTTATAAATATCACTCCAGAGGAGTGTTCTTGTGCAGTGCAAGAATTAAGCATGGCACAGAGTGTAAAACTGAAATGGTCCAGGTTGTTGGTGGGGAAGGCACACACTGGGGAGAGGCTGGTGAGGATGAACTCCTGTTCCTGTCCACAGTGTCTGGCTGCCATACCCGGGGTGTGAGGGAGGAACAACCCCTCACCTGCACCCACAGCCATGAGACCCCAGAGTGGTTCTGCTCTGCTTAGGTTGGGGCCAGACCCTGGGGACAATTCCCACCTTCTCAGGGGTCTCCTCTTTCATACTGCTTATTTTGTGCCAAACCTGCATGGATCTCTGCCCCAATGTGAATGTGAAGCTGCACGTGAGGCTGCAGTGTGCACTTCTTGCAGCTGCATGTGTTTAAGGTGAATCAAGAACAACAAAACATATAAGGCAGGCTGTAAAATTTGGAAGTAATTTAATTAACACTGTAATGAAAGTTGTTTAATTAACACTGTAACCCAGTGGGACAATATTAGATAGATAAAGTGACTCAACTGAGTCAATTACACTGCAACAGCTGTAATTGGGAACATCAGGAGACAGGGAAGTGGTGGCTTCGTGTGGCTGAACAAAGCTGTGCAGAGACAGCAAACCCAGGCTGGAATTATTTCACACCTAGATGTAAAAGAATAGGAAATATTAATATCTTTTAGGTTAGGAAATGGTATAACCAGTTTGTAGAAAAGAAATACACAAATAAACAGTAGTCAGCATTATCCCTGGTCATCCTTTGCATCCTGAGAATGATCTTACTATGCTGGTGTAATTCTAAGAGGCTGTACGACAAACTGAGGGAAATCAGAAAAAGCCACGTTAGAAATCAAAAAATAATAATTAAAAAATAATTGGAAACAGTTTTGCTGTGCTTATGGGGAGAACCAGCCACTTACCTGACACTGCCCCATGCTCTGCTCATGACACCTGTCCCTGTGTTTACCTGTGTGATGGTGATGGCACCAGGAAGGTAATTGGTGTTTATAATCCACCAGAAGTAGTTTGGGTGACAGGAGGCCAGAGAGCTGTAAGCTATTACATGACAATTAGGTATATTGTGTTTTCCTGATTCCAGGTAGCTCGGTGAACTCAAACTGTAACTTAGGGATCGAATTTTCAAAGATAAAATCCTAAACCTGCTCATTTCTTCCCTTGGAACCCCTGGGCCTTGTGGGGAGCAGCAGCTGGCACAGGGTCACTGTAGCTGTTGCCTGCCCTGTGGCTGGGACCTTCTCCCTGGGGCACTGAATGGCATCAGCTGGGCAGGCACTCAATGGGGGCCGGTGTAATGAGCTCATTAAAGACAGGTAATAGCTTGTAAAGTCACTCAGGTGGACACAATGGGTGTATCAGTGTCTCAGGTGTGCATTTCCTCCCTTCGGTGAAAGCATTTCCCCACAGCGTTGCTATAGGTATTATTTTGTGGGGTTTTTTTACTCAGGAACAAAACTTGTGGAGAACACGCTTGTTTCTAGACCAAAGATGTTAAAATAATTTAATTTGTACTGAGTGAATGGGGAACCATTCTCGACACAGTGTTGAAACAGATTGAGAAGTAACAGGAGGAAAATGACAAAAAGAATCTCTAACTTAACTGTGGGTGGACTCACCTGAGTGCTGCTCACTCAAACCCCTGCAGCCTTCACAGCCCTGGCTCTGTACCCACTGCTGCTGGTGCTGTTTGATTAGTCACTGTCTCATGGCTAAATCAAACAGGAGCATCAGAGCTGAGAAGCCTTGAGGCTCTGAGGGCACGGTGTCTCTGCCAGTGTGTCCCAGAGCCTGGGCTTTCCTGAAGTGCCTGCAGCCGTGTTTCCTGTCACTTCTCTAGGCTAATGGCTGTCTTTGCTTCTCTGCTTTTTTTTCTCAGAGACATCAAGCCCGACAACATTTTGCTGGATGAGCACGGTAAGTGCCAGGTGCTTTGTTGTCACGTGTATGTGTAAAAGCAGAGGCAGAGACAGGAGACCCAGGCTGCAGTCTCGGTGCTCGCTGGTGCCCTCATTTAGTGTTGCTGTCTTTCCTTCAGCCCAGCTGGGAGTGACACCCTCCCATCCTTTTGTGCTTCACTTGCTTTTTGAGTGGCAGTGTCTCACACCTCTGGGCACTGGGCACCCTGTAATGCTGCTTTTAGAGTTGCCTCAGTGTTTAACCAACAACTCTTTTGGCTGACCTGATGATGACCCTACAAGGCACTGGTAGGGACCCCACGTTGGTGCTGCTCGGGGTCAGTTGCTGATTTTAACACTTTCTTGGCTCTTGCTTAAAACTTACTCAAAATGCATTGTTTGAAGAGTAATGCTCATGTCACTGCAGGGTTTGTGCAGTGTGTGTTCACAAATAGAATGAATTATGGTGCAACAGATAATCCTTATTCAGGTATTTTCCTTTTCCTTGAGCATTTGGCATTGGGAGGGAGCTGTAAAGGGGATTTAGGGCTGGATATGTTATAGATGTTGCTATCAGTTTTTCAGTAGTGTTTCTCAGCAAAACCCTTGACTATATTCTTGCATGACTCTGTAGTCACATTTTTTTCCCCAGCAAACCTCTCACAGTGAAGAGTTGTCTGATATTTAATAGCTTGTAACTCATTAGAGAAACACTTTGTCATCTCGTATTTTTTGAAAAATCCATGTAACTGAGTTGTTGTGAGAAATCTTAATTAGCAGCTACAGCTACAGTGCTTGAAGAGAAAAAGTCAGTGCAGGGAAGAGGCATATCTGAATCTGTTATCACTTCAGATGCTGCATCTCCCAAGGGAGGCATCACCTGGCTCTGCATGACCATGTGTGTGACCAGGGTTGCCTGGCAGCACCGAGCCCAGGCTCGATCTGTTTCCATACAACCTCTAAGTTCAGAGCACTGGCTGATTATTTATTTAGGAGTTGGAAGAAAAGCAGCTTTGCCTCCAGGGGCTGGAGCCTCTGTCCTGCCTCACTTGGTCCTTCTCTGGCTGTTATCCCATGCTCAGACCACAGAGAGCACTGACCTCACTGATGTGCTGGGGACCTGCTCCGCCAGCATTGCTAGGGCTCCCCGTGCAGGGCTGTCTTTGGTCAGCCCTCGCTGACAGACACTCCCCAGAACCTCTGAGCCCCTCAGTCTGGGGTGACACAGTCCCCCAAGACGAGTTGGGATCTCTGTGGCCATGGGAATGTAGGTCAGTGCTCCTCAAAGAGGGGAAAAAAGGGGAAAAAAAACTCTGCTCATCTCTGCAGTTGTGTTCAGCCCAGAAGGATAAAACCTGCAAACTTCTGTAATGACACTGCAATTCAGGATGAGTTTTGAGCCTGCTCCCTGTTCACTGCGATATTTCACCTGTGTTTTGCAGAGGTTTCAGTTTTTTTCTGGGGACATACCCTTGACTCCAGTGTCCTTCTCCCTGTGACTTGTAGTATTCCTTTTCTTCATTCATGGCAGCAAAGGTGTGTCCTCTGAGGCACACAGAAAGCTTTGGTCACACACAGAGTTCAATTTTTTCTTGTCCCCAGAGTAGCTGTTATTGTAGCTGCATGTTTATCTATATTTAGCCTAGAAGATCATGGTTGTTTTTCAGTATCTCCTTCCCTGTGGTGCAGAGCTGCAGCTCCCCATTCTCTCTCCTCTCCCATCACCATCCCATTTTCACAACTGGGATCACAAAATAGATGCAATTAGCTAACATTAATTTTTTTGTGATGTTCTTGATTGGGACCAGTTCCCCAAGAATATGAAGTACCTGAAGACCTTCAGCAATCAGACTTCAGTCCTTCATTTTTTAGACTCCTTTTGTCCCCTAACTCTGCCCTTTGGCCCATCTCCCTTTCTACCTGTGAAGTTCCTTTACAGCTTTGATTCCTTCATCTTTCAGATTTAAGTTTGGAAAGGCCTCCTGCTCTGTTACAGACCCTAACACCCTTTTTATAGGTGTTAATGGTCAAGGAGGCTATAGGAGCCCTCATGCACATCATGAGCTGCAGGAGGCTGGATTCAGTATTTAATACCTTTCGTTATGCCACATATTGGTTGAAATGTGTTGTCCTGACACTGACTGTCACGGACCTGACACACACCTCACACTTTCGCCTCTGTCACCCTGGTTGGTGACATATCAATTTCAGACAAGGAATTATAGAGTGGAATATCAGGCAAATAACTTCCTGTGCAATGAAGGAGCCATTGTTCAACATCAGAGATTAGGATCAGATCCCCCAGGGAAAAAATCCCCAGCAGATGACACCTCCAGCAGTCATTCCAAGCACAAAGTGATTTCCTCCTTTAAAGACACTTCTGTCAATTTGGCTCAGTGACAGCACAGCTCACCTGGGAATGAACGGATATAACAGATGGCAATTTCTGGGAATTGTGGCTAATTCATCGGGAGTTTTTGACCAGGTCATTTGTCTAATAAAATTGAAGAAAGGCTCAGTTTTATCTCTGGTAAAACAGAGGTTTTTTGCAAGAGCCTTGTAATGGCTGTGCTCAGGATCCTTTCTTGTACTGCTGCTGGAAGGTTCTCTAGGGCAGTGCTGCAGTGGGTGAGTTATGCCAGTGCAGGTATGGCACGTTTGCTCCCTCATCTCAGGTGAGAAAGTTAGGGCACAGCCTGTCCAAGAGCCTCCACGATCCACAGCTCCTGAGCTCTCTAATTTCATATCCTTTAAAATGTTTTCTTAGTTGAATCTGCAGAAGCCTTGTATTTTTTGCACAAAAGATGTTCTAGAAAGGTGAAGGAATTATGAAGTAACAGAAGTGCTGAATGCAATAAGAAAATTGTTTGCCTTAAGGCAAACCCAAGGGTTGGTCTGGCAGTGCCAGTTTCAGGCTTGGGGAAGGAGCCGTGTGGTGCCCAAGGGCAGCTCTGGCTGTGCTGGTTCAGAACTGCCTGCAACTAGAGATGCTGAGAATCAGGAAAACACAAACCTTAAGGTTTGACCCTAAAGCTCAGCAGCAACCTCCAGTACATCCCTCTTGGGCCCCAGTAGCTCCCACCCCAGTCTGTAACGCTGCCATCACTGCTCAGCCTCATCATACTGCCCTGAGCCTCTTCCTCAGCCTCACTGGCTGGATTTGGTCATTTCTCAAGTGGGCTAGTTTATAAAACTTGTGATTTGTTTGAAGTGAATAATTTAAAAGATGGATCCAGAGGAAGGCATGTTTGTGCTTGGAATATCAAATTCCTAATAAGCCTTTATGATTCATATTTATGAAAACAGCTCCCCACAAAGTGGAATGAGAGCTGGAGTTGAAAGGAAAAACAGCACAAGGATGCAGGGGATGTATGCAGACAGGGCAGTTGGATGTCATTCTTTCTCCCAAGTGCTCCCCAGTGATGTGATGCTGCTTTTCAGTGGGCAGGCTGGGGGAGTGAGTGCCTGTGGATGGTGTGAGCAGCAGGGAGGAACACATGCTTCATGCTCCGTAGGTCTGTTGGGAGCTGTGTGAGGGGTGAGTGCCAATGCCTGGTTTGTGCTCTTGCAGCAGTGCCACAATTCACCAGGACATGGGCATGATACAGAGGTTTCAGGTGAAATCACAAGTTCTGCTTTTACTCTCCACATTTCCCCAGCTAGATCAGGTATTTGCAGCAGGCAACTTGTATCACTGCTCTCACAGAACAGATATATAGGCACAGTTGTAAATATTTACTTAAATGTTCACAGTATCCAGACAAGAAAACAGGAGTTCATTGCCACAGCATCAACTTTTAGACCTATAAAGGCGATGTTATTCTGCTTTAACTTGTGAACTAGAGCAGCAGTGGATTTCTAGCTGTTTGAAGCTAATGACTGAGGAAGGTGTTGTCACAGCATCTCTATCAGCAAAAGCCACTTTACTTCGATCTCTGTGGTTAGAGAAAACAGCAGCAATCCAGCTCCCCTCTGTTACTGCCGAGGGGGCAATAAGGCTGCAAAACACAGGAAACAGAACAGCTGATGTGTTGATAATGAGCTCACCTTTGTCAGGGGTGAGCAGCCTCAGTGCCTGAGGAGGAGATGAAGGAGGTGGGGAAGCGGAGCCTGCCTGTGTTTGATCCGGAGAATTGGGCTGAACTAACCCACAAGTTCAAGAGAGATTTTCTTCAGTGCAGCCAGCCAGGTCTGATCACCTGTATGTCCATGTGGGGCTGCTCTGCTCCCCAACAGTGGTTCAGTGAATGGGGAATAATAAATCGAGTGCCTAAAAACCCCAAAAAAGACAAGTAAAAGCACAGGCAGGAGCTAGGTGGGAGCATTGCCTTTCTCATCCCCCTGTGGATCACATCCACCTCTTTTATTTCCTTTTCGGTTTGCAGGCAGCAGCTGCGCATATTATATCCGTGGTAGCAGAGCCCATTCCTACCCCAAGGGGGTTTCATGATGTTTGGATTTCTGTGCAAGGCTGTTTTGCTGGCTGCTGAAGGTGCTTGGTTTCACACTGGAGGCAAATGGAGGGAGTGCTTAGTACCTGGAACACCAAATGGAAAGCAACTAGGAAGCCAAACATTGGGGATTTTTTTTTTTTTTACTTTTTATTTTTTAAAACATAGTGGAATTTTTTCTGTGAGAAAAGTTCAGTTCTCTTCCCCTCAAATTTATGAAGACTCAAAACAATCATCACTAAGTTACTTCTTGGAGAACTCCCATTTTTTTGCTCCCCAAAGGGAAAATAAGGGGATATTTAAAGTAATAAGACAACTGCAAGCAGCCTGCAAGCTGAAATACTTTCTATCAATTCTCCCACCAGAATATTGTTTTCCTGGAAGCTACTTTCCATGGAGTATTTTACTTCATGTTTCTGATTCAGAGCTGTTTCTCATGTGAGATTAAAGCCAATCCTGTTACATGTTAACCTCTCTCTTTCAGGACACGTGCACATCACCGATTTCAACATCGCCACGATGCTGACGAAGGAGATCCACGTCACCACCATCGCTGGCACAAAGCCCTACATGGGTGAGAACCAATGCCAGTTAAACCTTCTTGAATTACCATTTTATGGTGGGACACGGGTGAAGTCCTTTTTGATGAGGGTTTGGACTCTTTTCTTCCTTGTCTGTACCAAAATATACAGGCTGGTTTGGAATAAGGAACACCCCAGAGAGGGGCTGTGGGGCAGGGACAGGGAATGCCTCAGTGCAGCTGGGGAACGTGCACTGTATCCCTCTGCAAATCCTAAATGCAGACGGACTCCAGTACACTGCAAACATGGATTTTAGTGCCATGATGGCACATTGTACAGCATGGGTTTGATTATAAACTAAGATGGTTGCACTCCTGAGATCCCCGAGCGTTTTACAAGCAGCAGTCACGCTGTGTAGTGATGATGAAGTGCTCCTGCTACCCTTGAGAAGGGAAAATGGAGCACAAAGGTTTGTATTTGGTCCCTTAGTACATCAGCACAAGTCTTATGTGGCTGCATCATTAGCAATAATTTGAATTTTTATATAAAATGGCTGCTTTAAAAACTAGCATTACGCCATGTTCAGGACAAGTGAGTGGTTGTAAAAAAACATTGCTCCTTGTTTTGTTGGTTTTAGATCAGTTCTTGCCTCCCAGCTTGTATAAAAATTTTGAAGTATTTTTTTTTTCCTTAATCTCAAAAGGGAAATTTATTGGCTAAGAAAGAACATTTCAGTCGGTGCCTCCCCCCTGGCTTCCCATTAAAAGCTGTGGCTCTCAGGCTTCCTTCAGTTAAAATTTGGTTTTCCCTGCCAAGGGTGCAGTTGGCACCACGTCTGCATTTATGCTGCATATTAATGTTTCCAGAGAGCTGCTTTCATTGATGGTTGGGACTGGATGTGGGCTCTGCCAGACTGAACTGCTTTAAATATGAACAAAGAGATGAGTGGGATGGGAGCAGCTTCCCAACATACAGATCTGCTGAGCACTGCTGGGGCACAGAGGCTTCCTGGAGCCCATTTACTAGGGATGATGGGCAATTCCTCTGTCAGTAAAAGGAATTCGTTCCTTTTGGGCTTTGGGGGCAGAGAAGCACTGAGAGGTTCATGTGCAGGGGCCTGTGGGGCTGCTGGGTGCTGCTGGCGCAGGAACACAGCAGCGAAGGAGGGGCGTGGGTCAGGCACTGTGTTGCTCATTCCCACTTGGGATTGCAGCAAGGCAAGCTTTCTTTTCCCTGTATTTCACAGCACCTGAAATGTTTAATTCCACAAAACCCACTGGCTACTCCTTTGCCGTGGACTGGTGGTCACTGGGAGTCACTGCCTACGAGCTGCTGAGGACCCGGGTACGTGTGCGGCTCCCGGCCCGGCCGGCTCTGTCCTTGGGACACTGTTGGGAATGTTAATGCTTTGTAGCAGGTATGAGAGGGCCAAGCCAAAGTCAAGATTTTAGGGGTTATTACAGCATAGGAAGCAGAGACTACTTGTCCACCACGGCTCCTGTGATGGCCAAGAGCTCAGAGAAGCTGCTGCAATACAGAACATCCTGTGGTGGTGGTTCCCCTCTGCAGCTCAGGGCCTCTGGGTTGGCATAAGCAGGACGAGGCAAACAAGCAACAGCTCCTGAGGTTTGGGCTGCAATGTCCTTTACCTGGAGCTCCCATCCTGCAAGGGAAAAAAGGAAATTTGAAAGAAAATCTCATTGCTGTTGTAATCAGACTGAGCAGCTGGAGCAAATGATGGATAAAGCCCAATCCCTGCCTGTGCCATCAGAGCTCTGCTGCTGATACAGATAAGACATAGATAAGATTGGGGGCCTTGTAGACAGACAAATACATCAGTGTTTTGGAAGTATTGTGTAAAGAAGTGGGACAACATTTTAAAAATTACTTTCTTCGAAACAAAAGGAGAATGTAATTTAAGGAAGAATGTTTAAAATCTTGTGAGGCTCTGAAACTTCTTTCAGTATGAGTATGCAAAACATGTTTTTAAAAACTCTATCATCAGTCTTTGCAGAATGCCTGAAAGAAATGTTTTGATTAAGAGATTTTTCAGATGAATCTGTGTGTCTCAAATTGTGAGGGATCATGATAGCAGACATGGAGGGGATGTAGCTGCCTGACCTCTTGGGTAACTGAAGCCACATCCCTGTAAACATCTTAATGTAATATTTGAGCTTTCCATTTTTAATGCTAAATGAATGTCAGGACTGTGCATCATATTGATTTTAGAGTCGATGGCACTGTTTCCAAGGGCAGGAGCAGAGATGCCTTTGCATGTTCACACCTGATGGCACAGCCGTGGTGAGATGGTGGCACCTGGGTGGCTGCCACGCGGGGGAAGTGAAGGGAGGCCTTGAGGTCCATCTAGTGTCGGCACGCGTCAAGCACACTGTACCTGATCCGATCTCACTGTTTATAGCTACTATTTTTTAAATGTGTCTTTAACGCTCCCTCTCCTCTCCCCGACATAAGGTAAAAATCTGGTAATCGAAACTTTCCAAATGAAAACAGCCTGCCATCGTAGGGTGTCTCTCCGGGTAAGGCAGCAGTATTGTTGTAGCTGTGAGATAAGCAGGGAGGTGACTCCAGCCATGCACTGCAGGTCGATGCTAGTGGAGTCCCCGGTGCTCTGCTGTGCCATGTGCTCCTCTGCAATGGCTCACCTGTCCCAGTGCTATGACACCCGGTCACGGGGCAGAAGGGACAGTCATCCTGCAGCCTGACACCCACCCGGGGCTGGTTACCCTTCCTGGGTCATCCTTTTCTGAGCTAATTTGATCAGCGGGAGAAATCCAGCTCCTTTTCACTGGCATTGTCCCCAGCAGAGTGAAGAACTGAAAACGCTGGCACATTTTACAGGGAATATCAGGAATGCTCTAACCACAGCACTGTGTGTCATAGTCTTGTAAGATACAAACACTGATAAGGCTGAGCAAACCCATGCTGGTTTTAACTCTGACTTCTGGGCTTTTCTCCTGCCTGTCCTGCTGTTAAATGTCCATTTATTAGCATAGATCTTGACATTTTGTTTATTTCAACTGAGCCACGGTCACGCAGAGAGAAATGTCCCACGGGAGTCTGGGGACTGGACAGAGAGACTGTGTGAGGCTCTAAACAGATTTCCCAAGGAGTCCTGGAAAAAAAAGCAGATAAATTCAGGTGCTTTCCTTGTGTGGCGTTTCCCACAGAGGCCGTATCACATTCGCTCCAGCACTTCCACAAACGAAATCGCCCACGTGTTCAGGACAGCCAAGGTGATGTACCCCGCCGCCTGGTCCCCGGACATGGTGTCGCTGATCAAGAAGGTGAGGTGGGCAAGGGGCCGGGGGTGTGCGCAGCGCTCCTGCCACTCGCAGTGCACGGGGAGGGGAGTCCTTGCAAACAGTGTCCAGGCTGGTGTCGGTGACATTTGGGTGGCACCGTGTAACAAACGCCAGCGTTTGGTGCTCAGCTGCAGGAGGTGATGGCAGCGAGCAGTGCTGTGTCCCGGGCTGGCGCATGTGGCGGCTGCTGCTGCACCTCCTCTAAGGACACGGCAGCCTTCACTTCCAGAGTGTCCTCCAGCGCTCTGGAATGACCTAGGTTAGAAGCAGATATTGATATATGTGTCAATAAGTTTAGCAAAAAAAATATATTTTTTTAATCCTCAAAAAATCATTTGTTCCAAGATAGAAAATATTTGCAGGAAGTGCTGATGCTGTTGAAATCCTTTGATGTCACGCGGTTCATGCACCACTGCAATTTTATTTCAATAGAGCTTCCTATGCTGTAATAACCCCTAAAATCCTGAATTGCTTCAAAATCATTACTGGAATAATTTTGAAGCTGAAATCCCATCTGAAATGAAGCCACAGCTTCAATAAACAAGACTGTAGCTTGACAGTGTCAGATGCTGTCTGCACACAGTGGCAGCAAAGCTGAGCACTGACCCCTGCAAAGCAGCACTGGAAGCACATTTTCAGAAAGTATGTAAATGGTTTTCTAATTTTCAAATAAGGGTAGGCGGTAAAGTAGTACTTAATGAAGCTTTCATCCATTTTTTTTTCCAAATAGTATGTGTAAGTATTCTGTCATTTCTAATGAAATACTCTGAAATATTTTTATGAAAAGAGGCCATCAATTCTTTGCTGAGACAGAATCACAGCCTATTTTCCAGGAAGAAAATTGAAGAATATTTCCATTTGCTTAAAATTCAATGAAGCCAATATTTCATTGAGCCTAACAGTAATACAGGGATATTTACTGCAGATGTCCTCTGCGTTTCTATGCTGAAAGTTTTTCCCTGGAACCACGGCATGCTGCAAGCCATGGAGGCTCCCTTGTGAATAAATAATGCAATGTCACAATTATTTAAATTGCCCAGTGCCCCTTTGCATCTGGTTTAACAGCCAGATGTATTATATATGAGGCTGACTGCGGCTCCTTCCTGGCTCAACCATCCCCTGTGGAGTTTTGTATTTATTAACGTCTGAGGCAGATGTTTGTCATTGCAGAGCCACAGCACTGGCGCTGGGCTGGAGCCCAGGGGGACCTGGGTAGTGGGGACATTGCTGTGTGCCCAGCTGCACATCAGCATGAGGAGGGCTGGGGGGGGGGTCACCCTGTCCACACCCTCCCCGGAGGGTTTGGATCATCTGGTTTTCCTGCTGCATTTTTGATTTGCATGTTCTCAGGAGTATATGTAATCTATAAGCCTTGAACAGAGACAAACTTCAACCCTCTCCTTCCACACAAGTAATTCCTAAAGCAATGTTAAAAAATGCTGGAAATAAGCAGTGTGAAGGCATGGCTTTCACATTGGAATAAGAATATTCCATTAGTAGAGTGAGAAAACGGGATGTTTTACTGATACGGTGTTAAATGCAGAACACAAAGGCCTGAGTTTAACTCCCTGTTCCAAATGGTTATTTTTAACCTTGGACAAATTGTTTAATGCCACTGTACTGCCTCAATGCCCGCTTCTTCAATGCGGATAAAAGTCGTTCATAAAAATAGGAATAAATGGAGTTAAAGCTTGTGAGCCTGTCGCATACCCTGGTGAAGGGACTCTGAGCCAGAGCAGCAGAGAGGCACTGGTCCAAGTGCCAGTGTTGATGCGGTGTCCCTTGTCCCTTGCAGTGCCACTTGTCCTCAGCCCCACTCCATGGAGCGTGTGTGGGGATGGTCTCATCTCTTCCCTTTAACTCTCTCTGCAGTTGCTCGAGCTGAATCCTGAGAAACGTTTTTCTCAGCTGAAGGACATCCAGGCCTTCCCCTATCTGTCTGATGTGAACTGGGATGCTGTTCTCCAGAAAAGGATAATGCCAGAATTCATTCCCACAGTAAGGCTGTTTGAGTGTAAATGTTCCCGATGTGCCTGAGCCTGTCCTCACACCTGGCACTGGGACATGGGACGTTCTGACAAACTTCCACTGGAGCATCAGGTGTCACAAGGGGAAAAGGAAGACCAGGGCAGGGCTGCCACTTCCCTCTGGGTGTAATAAAGAGCAATGGGGGATGACTGCACTGTGGGTGCCCCAAAACTGATCTGCTCTGTTTACAGTGTTCCTGGAATTTTTGGGTGCAGAACTGGTGTTACAGGCTCCGGGCTGTGGGTCCATGTGGGATGGAACATGTGGGCAGTGCCTGTGAGCCATACTCTGGACAATGCTGCTCCCAACATCCAAACACCCAGTGCAACAGAATGGGCTCAGCAGCAGCCTGGGGATCACCCATCATCTTATGGGAACTGTTTCCTTCTGTAATGCCTGCCCTAACAAGCTCATTGTTCACAGTAAATAGCACATACACTAGATTAGTGTTTCTGAGCCTTTTTTAATTGGATTAAAACAGCACACAAGTAACATTATCCTTATGGAGAACAGTCTGAGTGCTGCTGTGTGCGGTTTTCAGCCACGTAGAAGTTGGGGTAAACTGTGAATATTTGTCAATTATATGTATTTCCCCCCCTATGGGTGTGATTCTGTATTGCTTTAAGACCGGTTCTGCAGGCTGCTATGCTACTCTAAAGAGGCACATCCCAGCCAGGACACCGTCCTCATCCTCATTGCCACTCTGAAGCCACCAAAGGGCAGAGTAGAAGCAGGAGTACAAAAAGAGCCACTGTCACACGTTGAATATGCCCTCTGGCTGAAGGGACTGACAAAGTATGGCAGGAGTACAGCGGCTGCTCTAGCTGCATGGGCAGCTGTAATCAGTGCATCTTTTTACAAAATTCAGCTCTCAAGGTGCAGTCCAGTTTATAAGAGATTTCTCAAGACAGGCTCTGACCACTTATGGTTGCCTCTCTCTCTCCCCTCCAGAAAGGAAGACTAAACTGTGACCCAACCTTTGAACTGGAAGAAATGATTCTGGAATCCAAACCTCTTCATAAAAAAAAAAAGCGCTTGGCTAAGAAGGAGAAAGGCACCAGCAAAAGCAATTCCTCCCAGGTGAGAGCAAGCAGGTACAACCATGTGGTCAAGGATGTCTCTCATTTTCCATGGAAGGTGATTGCCATCTAGCAAGACCACAGCAAACTGGTTGAACAGAACATTTTTTTCCCTCGTGACCAACTTTATTCCTAAAACTCTCCCGCGTCTTCCCTGTGGTGGAAGGCAGAATGTTTATGCACTGGTTTAGTGCCAGAGGAGAGCCTTAATGCCATTCTCCCCACTGCAGGGCTAAAGATGCTCTGTGCCTAGAGATATTGCTATGCCTCCTTGAAATTGCCCTTGCAATGTCTTTCTGTGTCAGCTGTGAATTTATTCCCCATCTCTTTTATTTTTCCATTCCAATGTGAAAGGCCAGCCACATCCAGAAGCACCTGGAGATGCTCCAGAGGGACTTCATTGTTTTTAACAGAGAAAAGTAAGTTCTGATCCAGAGGTAGAAAAGGAGGCTCTGGCCCTTGCCGAAGCCTTTTACAGGTTTGGGGGCCCAGGGCTGGGGGAGGGTCTAGAGCTGGGGGGGTTTAGGGCTGGGGGGGGTGTTGGGGCTATGGGGCCCCAGTTTTGAGGGGGCACAGAGGACCAGGGAGTGGGGTGCTCCCAGGCAGCTGCACTGCTGCAGGGTCTTGGCTCTGCCTGGGCCCCCCCTCACAGCTCAGCTGTCCTTCTCTGTCCCCAAGGGTGAGACACCACCATGACAGCATCCAGGAGACCACACCACTGACAAAAAGCGGAGGCACATACAGGGAGGACAACCAGAACAACAACCTCTGAGAGCAGCATGGCCCCTGCAGGAGACCTCCAGGTGGGGCTGGGGCTTGCCCACCCACCCATCGTCACCATGTCAGACCGTGGACTCGTCCTCTGCTGCCGGGACCCTGCCAGTAGCCCAGGGCACCAGGGGGAGTTGGGGCACCCACCCCCTCAACCTGCCACCCCACAGCCAGAGGGTCCTGGGTGTGGGGGGAGAGGCTGTGGGTGCTGCCTTGCAATTGTCCACAGTCAGTTAGGCTCAGATCCTATTATGCTGCCTTTCCTGATGGCAGGAATGTGGCCATGTGACAATGGATGAGACAGTATCCACCCTTCCGGCTTGGCTGGCTGGTGCCACAGCCCTTGGTGCCCCCTGTGCTCAGAGATGTCACCAAGTCAGCTGCAGTGCTGGGGCCACAACAGCATAGTGGGTGAGGGCTCTGCAGAGGTTGGGACCTCGGCATGGATGGGCTGCTCCAGGGGGAAGAGGCGACTCCCAGGTGCAGGGTCTCCACCAGTGCACAGTGACAAGAGTGGCCTTTGCTTACAGACAGCTCCTGTGAACACCCCGTGAGGGTGGGCATGGGGGGCTGGCAGTGGCAATGAGGTCCTTCCTTAGCTGGGAAGAGGTTTCCTGTCCCTTTCCCTCTCCACATACCCAGCAGGGCTGGCATGGCCTGAGTGTGCAGATAGATGTGACACCAAGAGGTAACAACCAGGCAATGACAAATCCAGATGCTTTTCCAGCATGAAAAATGCCTGAAAAATCCATTCACCATCATGTTAAACTGCTGCCACCAGAGGGAAATTTTAATGTGTATTTTTAATCTCTCTACCATTGAAATCACACTTGATTTAAACAGGGACTGTTTGCAGGAATGGCCACACTGCTGGTGTGGTCTTGGCCAAGACTAAGATTGGCCAAGGAGTTTCTACTGCAGTAATGCTGGGAATGATGCTATTATTTAAATGCTTTGGCAGGCCTGATGTTTCCTCTCCTTCTTTGACATTTTTCCTATTCTCAGTAATATAGCAAATGTGTGATGAACTCTTTGCCTCCTATTTACCCAAAGGGACACATCCTGTCTGGGTGGAATTAGTTCAGCAGTAAGTAGGTAGTGAAGCCCTCAAAGTAGGGTCATTGCCATGGGAAAGTCACCATGTCCTGCTCAGTCACAGCACACCCTGACTAGTGTTCTTGCTGTGTTCTTGCCCTCCTCTTCCCCAGCCATCCTCTTTCGAGCAATAGGATTGCTGAGCAGGATGGGGGCTCTGTGTCTCTCTGTGTCTCTCTTTTGACTTGCCATTCCCAGGGAAGCTATCCAGAGCACCTCCAGTGTTTTCCATTGGTCCTCTGTTCTCTGCCCAGTCCTACAGGGGGTCTGGCACAAGGCCTGGTCAGGAGGGACTCTGTCAACAGCTGTCCCTGTCCCCTGCACAGCACATCACTATTGTTGTGTTGCTCTGGTGCAGATAGGGGTCCACACACCATAAGTGTGTTTATCTGGAGTCCCAGACAAGGAAACCAGCCCTGCTCCTCCTGGGGAAAAAAATCTACTGCTACAGAAATACCACTGTACTGGCTGGTCAAAAAACCCAAAACAACTTAAGTACTTAAATGGTAAGAACATCACATCTTTAGAAATTCCCCAAAGATTTCTACAATCATCTCTCCCTTCCTCTCTTCTACTGTAAACAGAGGTACAGTTTCAGCATAATTACTACTAGGTAACAGGGAAAAATCTTTAGTTACTTGATAGCAGCACTTCACAAAGCTTGTAAGGATGAACAGCCTTCCCTTCCCCTGGCACAACTATTCTGGCCTGGCCCCTTAAGGACTGCTGCATGGACAGCTTGTTCTGCCTGACTTGCAGGCATGTAAAAATAAGTATTTCAAGGTCAAATACTAAAGAAGGGAAAAAAAAAAAGTGTATTTGCTTAGCACAGCCTAAACTGACCTTTAATTTTTGTAATCTTTAAAAAAAAATCACTTTTTTTTTCTGCATGCTTTTCAAGCTTTAGAGGGCAACGCCTCTCAGTCTGACAGACACTGCTGGATGGAAGGGGAGCATTTAACTCAGAGGTGCCCACAGAAAACAGCCTCCAAGCCTGCCTAGCCAGGATGACCCCAGAGCCATGCCCAGGCACTGCCACATGGAGCCAGTCCCTGTCACCACACAGACGACAGATGCAGCTCTTGCCGGGCAGTCACAGCCCCCAGTGCCCAGGCCAGGCTCAGCCAGAGACTGCATGGACAAACTGAACGGGCTTTTACAAACACTTGCAACGTGCTGTTTTGCCAATACCTTGCCTGAGCAGCTACACCAACCCTCTGACACTGCACTGTGTCATCCTGACAGCCCATTCTTGCAGCCCCTCCAGCCCAAACACCACCCCGAGCCCCTTGTGCCACCTTGGCCCAGCTTCCTGTGGGCACAGCTGGACACTGCCCCTGCCAAGCAGCAGCTGCCTGAGGAAGAAAAGAGCCAGCCAGCAACACAAGTTGTTTGAAGGAACAACTTTTTTTTTTTAATAAAGTGTACAAAGTAGTAAAACTCCTTACACGAGGTGCTGTGACAGCCGTTACAGAGATGATTCGGGCTCCCCCATAGGCCTCGTGGTGAAGCGCCAGAGCGTTGGGTGGAGATGAAGGACATGAACACGACAGACCCACCTGCCCCTACCAGCTCAGTGCACCTGCCCTCCCCATCCCACAGCCTGCCTCTGGCCAGACCCTGCCCCCTCACTGGGTCACCCCACGGGCCGTTCCCACTGTCCCACAGCATCCCACACGCGTTCAACACCAATAACACACTGAACCAGCGACCTGTCCGAGCTGCATGCATACAGAGAGGAAGAGCAAAACACAACCCGACCGAACCCACAACAGTGACAACAACAGAACCTTAAGGCTATGCAAAAACAAAATGAAGCAACATCTTTAAAGCTAGGTAGCAAGTAGCATTTGTGAAACATAAGGCTTGAGGCTTATTGATTCTTCTGAACAGGTTTACTTCTTTTCCTTCTTAAAACACCAATGTACCATTTTTCTTCCTTCGCTTGAACAGGGACTTTGTTTCCTCCTCAGCCGGGACATTTAGCTCAGGGAGGTGATGTTGGAGCGGCCTCCCGGGGGCGCGACGATGCGCTTGCTCGCTGAGCGCACACCTTCATCAACCTGGGTACCTGGGACAGGACAAGAAAGCACAAAGGGAAGGGGGAGAGCAAAGTTAAGAGCATTTTCTTCACAGAACTGAGCAGTCAAGCAGACTGGGGTCTTGCAAAGGGCCTCCTGAGACTGTCTGCAGCAACTTGTTCCCTCTCCCAACTCCAGTAGTGACCCCAAGAGCAGCAGTGGCTTGAACATCTCTGCAGATGCTCCATGAACAGACCCACACAGCAAAAGTGGCATTGGATGCTATGCTGGCCTCCACAGCCACAGTCTGCCTTGCTTCTACTGCAAGGTACAGCTCCAGCCATGTCCTTCAAGGAACACACAGGGTCTTGCCCTGCCTCTTGTGCTCACCTTTTCCCACGCCACTTCCCAGCTGCCCCTGCCCCAGGAGCTGGGACACGTGGCCAGGGACTCTGCCCTCTCCCAGCCCAGCTGCCACACATACTCACCTGACAGGCTGAATCCGGACTGGTGGAGGTTCCTGACAGGGGGTGTCTGCCGTGTGGGGGACTCCCTGGTTGACCCCGCAGGAGTGCCCCCCTTGGGGGTGGTGGTGAGGTCAAACACGGGTCCGTCATACATGCCCCGGGGCACGGCGTGCATCTCTGCCATCTGTCACCAGAGAGAAGAGGACAGTGGCACTTCTCTGAGCCCAGGGAGCATCATACTCCAGCCATCCCTGTCTCCCCAGTCCCCCTGCAGAGGGAACTCTCACTGTCAGCCCCATGCCCCCCCAGTCCTGCACTGAGAAGGCCTGGTACAGCCCCACCACCCACCCTTCACCTGCCCTGCATGGTGTGCAGAACCAGCACAACAGCCCAGATGGGGATCATGCTGCACAAATGAGGGAGGACAAGGCAATTTTGGCCGATCTCTTCATTTTTAACTGAGCACTTCCCTCCACACTCCTGCTGCAGCAGGACAGGATGAGGATAGACATCACCCACTGCTGACCTTGAGGAGCATCTGCCTCCAGCTTGGCACACCACCAACACAACGGGAAAAGCTGCCTACCCAAGCCTCAGCTTCATAAGCATATATTCAAAATACATCAGTCTGCAGCACTGCTTATAGGGTCCAGCAAGAACAGCAGAGTAAAAATAACCAGTTATGAAGGAAAAATGCGATTTGGGTGAGCAGTGTCCCAACTCTGTCTCCTGGCATCCCCATCTCCTCACCTTCCTCCTGGCTTTGATGCGCTTGTAGACATAGTCAGGGAAAGGGCTGCTGGGCAGGAAGCGCCCGGTCCCCTGGGTCACATGCAGGTTGCCATCCTCCAGCATGATCTTCCCCTGGCATATGACAACCAGCGGGGCCCCACGGAGCTCCATTCCCTCAAAGATGTTGTATTCAGCCACCTGCAGCAACCCAGGGATAATGGTCAGGAGGGATATGAGCACTCCCTGCCCACTCAGGGCGGGTCAGTCCCCACACCTCGCTGCTGGAGTCACCAGAGTGGGGAGAGGACACCTGTAACAGCCTTGCCTGCCTCAGAGGCCTCCTGAAGCTCACTAGCCCAGCACAGTAAGAACCCACCAGAGCTCCCAACATGAACCAGGACCTGCTGCTTTGAAGCTCAGTGTGAGGACAGAGTCCAAGAACAGAGGAGGGCAGGACTTAGGCTTGAGGTAAGGCATGAACAAAGCACGCTGGCAAAGCCAGGAAAAAATTGTGCCTGGAAAAGGAATCCAGATTAGAAGAAATGTGTGCCCTTACACCTGCATGGGCCAGGGTCAGGAGAAGAACAGTCAAGCAGGGCGAGAAAAACCCCATGTGTAGAGCCCAGGGCTCAAGGACATCCACAGTCACAGCTGGCATGCCCAGAGCCTGGGCTCAGTGACCCCTCCTCAAAGACAGATAGGGCAGCACCAAGCTCCCAGGCAGCCTTTCTACACACACCCCAGCCTCCAGCGTTCACACAGATGAGCACAGGACTTACAGACTGATGGGTTTTTGCTGTGATGATCTTCACTGCATCAGGATCCCATATCACCAAATCGCTGTCTGAGCCCACTGCTATTCTCCCTTTTCGTGGGTACAGGTTGAAGATTTTTGCAGCATTAGTGCTTGTCACAGCCACAAACTGGTTTTCATCCATCTTTCCTGTGGCCTGCTCGGACACAAAGAGAACTAAGTATTCTTTTTGGGGAAAGAGAGAGTAAGAGCCCTGGGAAGCACCAGACTCCCTCCCACATGAGGTGCTGGCTGGCTGGGCCCAGGCTGTCAAGACTAATCTTACCCCTGGCACCAGACAGGCAAATAAGTGGGGGCACCATCACAGCTCCAGGCTGTTCACCCCAAACCTACAACAGCTGCCTCTCCTGCTCCAGCTTGGTTTGACTCTCAGAGCCAGAGAGGGGACAAGCAGCTGGGTGCCCAGCTCTGCGGGGCAGGAGCATGAGGTGGCAGCCAACCCTGCCCGCTCTGCCCCTTCCCCGGCGGGACTCTCACCACTGCCTTGTCCCAGATGATTGACATTCGTTCCTCTATGCCGTTGGTCCCTTCTGGGATGGCTGTGAAGTTGTCTTTTCCGATGGCTTTCTGAGCGGTGCTGAAGGTACAGTGAGCACTTCCCGAAACCTGCAGGTCACCACTGAGGGGTGGTGGCACAAACACATTGTCAGTGGTGGAACAAACACATTGTCAGTCGTTCTGCAGTCAGACAGCAGCAGAGACACGAGGAACATGGATTTCCTCTGGCCACGGGCAGCCCCTGGCTCAGTTCTATTTTACTCTGCACCCTCAATTCCACAGCCCCTCAGCCTTAAGACTTCCACCTGACCCAGCCCCCGGGACACTTGGGGGCAAGACCTCTGCCACGCTGTGCTGCCTGCCTGAGTATAGACAGCATCCTGCATACAAGGGGAGTCAACAGCTCAGCTCCCAGGGAACAGGGTGGCCTTTGTGTCAGGTCAGAAGATACCCTTCCACACCAGGCTCCATCATTTGCACAAGCACAAAGGAAAAATCATCCCAGTGCAAGTCAGAAAACCTATTTCCGTCAGTTTGTCAGGTCTGCTTGGGAAAGTCCTTCTGCTACACAGGAAGGAAGAAGCCACTCTGCTCCAGAACTGTCCTGTACAACCAGCCCTTGTGTCATGCAC